AACGATTCGCGCACGTTGGTGCGGGTGTCACGAGTGCTGTACTCGCATGGATCGAAGTCGAGACAGCGTTTAAAAATCGTTTAGTGACCGGCATTGTAGTAAACAACTCGTTTATCAAACCCCGTCGCTTTCTCGAAGCCGCTAGAGACACAGAGCTCGCACGCATTCATCGAGCAATCGCGCGGCACGCTAGTGTAAAAGTGAACACAGTGTTCAACGGAAAGTTTGTCGCGGGTAAAAAAACGAGTGTAAAATCGAGTGTAAATGTTTAATACGTGCAACCGCGGACTCTATCACACATCGGATCTGCGCGAGTGGTACGATCGAGACGTGATAAATGCAATAATGACCGCTCTGGAAGAGTTCCAGGAACGCGACAGCGCCTGAGCGTTGACGCAGGTACTGAACCTCACAGTGAATGTAAACAGTCATAATCCGATGCGTGCGGGATGTCAGGTCCAGATGCCGCGTGAGGTTCAGCTCAAACGCGCGGTAGTGAACGTACAGTCGCAGGACAATGCGTGTTTTGCGTGGGCAGTGGTTGCCGCGTTGTATCCTAGTGCTTCACATTCTGAACAAAAATCACAGTATCCCGCGTATGCGAGTGTGTTGAATTTTGATAGAATAAAGTTTCCAATGACATTGCACCAAATCGCGCGTTTCGAACGCAACATCAATGTGTCCGTAAACGTGTTTACGGCGGCGGAACAGGGACATGGATACGTGCCGCTGTATCTTACATCGAACAAGGACAAGCATGTGAATCTGTTGTATGTTCCCGATCAACGCGATGGACACTTGGGACACTTTGCGTAAATAAAACATTTATCGCGATTAGTCATCTCACAATTGAACAAGAATACAAGAATAAAATACATATGCGACCGGTAAGTACAAACCAAAATGACCGTTCAAATTACGAGATGGTTGAACTCATGAATCAATGTTGTGTATTGTTTTTTATTGCAACGCGTACACAGATGCCTACACTACTTCCACACAAGCGAGAATCTAGCGCAACACACCGTGGACTGTGAACGATTGAACAACAGCGCAGTGGTTCTCCCCGCTGGAGGAAAGAACCGTTTGAAATTCAAAAATTACAACAACAAGGAACGGGTTCCAATGGTGGTGTACGCCGACTTAGAGTGCGTACTTGAAAAACAGGACGAAAAGCAGGATACATCAAGCGCGCATAAGTACCAAAAACAGTGTGTTCAGCATCGGTTATTACGCCAGCTGCGAGCACATAGATACATCGGATACAAATCTCATAGAGGCGAGAACTGTGTGCAGTGGTTCTTGAATAAATTCCACGATCTCGCGAAACGTTCGAAGACTTTGTTCGCGGCAAATGTACCAATGGCGAATCTCACACCGGCGGAGATCAAGCGGTTTAAGAACGCTAAGTGTTGCCACGTTTGCAAACAGCCGTTTGAGCGAGATCCCAGTAGAGTGCGCGACCACTGTCATCTAACGAGGCGCTTTAGAGGACCCGCACACTTCGCGTGCAATCTGAATTACAAACAAATCTACGTTGTTCCCGTTGTGTTCCACAACTTGTCCGGATATGACTCGCATTTTATTATCAAGAATGTGGTCACCGCTTTCGAGGGTGAGATCAATGTGCTACCCGTGACGAAAGAGACCTATATATCGTTCACAAAACATGTGAACAATACGCGAGACGAAGACAATCAGAGGTGCGTGCAACTGCGATTCATCGATTCTTACAAATTTCTGAGCACAAGCTTAGAAAAACTCGCGTCATATCTCGGAAAAAACGAACTGCGTGTGACTCGAAAGGAATTCAGAGATCTCTCCACCAAGGACTTTGAACTGCTTACGCGAAAAGGTGTGTTTCCATACGAATATGTGGACAGCGTCGACAAATTGTTGGAAACAAGTTTGCCACCGCGCGAGGCGTTTAACAGTTTGCCGACTGACAAGACTGTGACGGGGAGCAAGTACGCGCACGCGACGAATGTATGGCAACGATTCAACATCGAAAATCTGGGATCGTACAGCGACTTGTATCTGAAGACGGACGTACTTTTGCTGGCCGATGTATTGGAAAACTTTCGTCGCGAGTGCCTTGAGAGTTACGGACTGGATCCCGCGCACTACTACACATTGCCGGGGTATACATGGGACGCCATGTTGAAGTACACTCGTGTGACATTCAAGCTGCTGACCGACATCGACATAGTGATGTTCGTGGAACGCGGCATACGCGGCGGTCTGAGTCAATGTTCGAACAGATACGCCCGCGCAAACAATAGATACGCGTGTTCGCAAGATCCATCCGAACCGTCGTCGTATCTGATGTACTACGACGTCAACAATCTTTACGGATAGGCAATGTGTCAGCCGCTACCATACGGTAACTTTGCATGTGTGGAGAACACAGACGAGTTCGACGTGACAACGGTCGCCGCGGACAGCGACATCGGCTACATACTCGAGGTCGATCTGACGTATCCGAAAAAACTGCACGACGCGCACAGAGACCTGCCCTTTTGTCCAACGCGCGAGGAGCCGCTTAGTAAACGCGGTAAAAATCACGGGGTGATACTCTATTCAGGGGCGGCGATCAGTATGTGGAATTGGGGAGTACTCCACACATGTAAATTTGAGTTGTGTGGAATTTCCACATATGTCGAGCAGTCGAACTATATCCAAAAAATAATTAGATTTTTTATGAGCGATA